CCGACCTTCTCAAGAACGCAAGCAGTCTGCTCTCGCCCGGAAGAAGTACGCGAAGCTGACTCCGGAGGAGCTCAAGGTCGTCGAAGTTCCGGGTCGTGGTGTCGTCTCTTGGCGTCACTATGGGCTGCTAATGAAGTTCCCGCCTGAAACGGCCAACGCGGTCGAGCAGACTACCGGATTCCCCGACTACACTCCGAATCTCGCTCGCGTGGAGGAGGCGGATCAGGTCCGGAAACGCTGGCTTCAGGCTGATTTCGCGGAGCTCTTGAAATCGGCACCCTGGGATACCATGTTCGAGGATCGAGTCCGGCAGTTGCTGCTTCATCGGCCTGCAGATCTGAATGCCAAGATCCAGGATGGTCTATCAAGGCTTGTCAAGTTCATGAGTGAGAACCGCAAAGCCTTCTGGTACGTCGGCCACTGGTTCTTCGTGAATCACGGGCTGGATGTATCTTCGAACCAGCTCCACCGGGACCGCAAGCGGGACTGCGACTACGCGAAGAAACACTACAAGCGCCTCATCGATGAGCTGGTCATAGATTGATTTCCGGAGTCACTGTTGGAGGAGCCCGGGGTCTGGACATACCCGTCCAAGGTCTGCTTCTGGGTGATCATGGATCCCTCTCACGTGGATGACTCGGGCAACCGGATCACGCTGCAATCCCAGCTGGAGCTCGTGGACCGTGCTGAGCCGGCTCGCGCGCAGTGGAACTACTGCGACTCGGATGAAGCCCGGACCCAGCATCTCTCGCAGGTTCTGAAAGACCGGCTTCTGGACGAGACTGAGCGTGGGCAGTACAACGTCTCGGACGACTTCCCGTGAAGACATTCCGGAGTCTCAAGTCGAGTGGAAGCCCGAGGTTTCTTTGATATTGCATGTCTAACGTAGTGCTAGTCCACTTGATACACTCAACTCATTTGCATATCCACACTTCAGTTTCAGGTTCCTCTCATCATAGTCATCTCGAAATCCACCTTCTTAGTCTGAATGCTCATCATTCGCTAATCATCTTAGTCCACGAAAATCATCACGTAATTCCGGTTCACAATCCACTTCTCCTCCTGAAAAGCGTCTCCACACTCCACACCTCTAAGTTCCAAACGTACTCACACCATCAGTCACCAGGTCGAGTCACAATCCAGGATTACATCCCATTCTAAGTCGCCATTCGGAGTGGTTATAGCCTGGGGTGATCATCCCCGGCTTGCATCGCCCGAAAGCGAGCCTTAGCCTTCGCCCCTTGGTCGAACTCATATAG